GACGCTGAACGCCGTCCTTACAAAAAAAGCAACTGAATCCTCATCATCCACAACATGCCCGCCCCGTCTTCTGCTAAATTTCTGAAACCAAATACCTGACGTGGCCGGTGGCAGTTAGCTTCTACCAGTCGCTTAACGGAACACCCTTAAGCAGTTGGACCTTTAGGCTCAATCTCGCGGCCCTCCAGCGACAGCCCAGCACCCATTTCCATGTAATAATACCCGAGTGCAACAGACAGGACAACGAGCGCATGGCTCAGAGTTTACGCAACAGACTTCGAAGCAACAGGTCGCGAGCGCGCTCCCTTAAGTCATCGCTATGGAGTTCCGTATGTTTAACTAAATGACGGCGAGTAAGACAGAAATGGCCATTACAGACTCCCTAGCCTTTGTTGGAAATATCCATATGCCGAGAGCGTACATGGCATATTTTGCATTTATTTACTTAGGTACAACTTCAACTTGTAGTACCGTGTTTTACGTTCATATTGGTTATTGAGGTTATGCAGTGACAGGTCGCAGCTGAAGAGTAGTCAAATAATTTTTTGGATCCCGTCATTCTGCTTCTAAGAATCATGAGCAGCAACGTAACTGACTGCATTTAATTTGTGCATCGTGCTTTGAATTCGTTAGCGTAAAGGTGCGCCCAAAGATGCTTCGATCTTTCCAGCTGCCAGACACACCGTGTATTCTAATTGGTATGGAATATGTTTGAAAATGACCTTCTAGCCAAAAAAAGTTAAAAATACAGAAAACGCAAGAAATCGAAGAACCTACAGAGCATTATATACAGAAAAGCTATTCCGGACATAAACGATTCTTTATAATGATTTGTGCTACCCTTTATCTGTTAAAAGTACGCCACAAATGAAACAGGCTCAGTTTTACCAACATACTTTGAACGGCCATGTTTTTTGCCTTCGTGATATCGGAACCTGTAATTTAAGTAGTTACTGTTGAGAAGGTCGTTCTTAGAAGAATAAAATAAAAAGCGTAAGGTCGACCCTAAAACTATCTCTGCATGGAACTGTATTCAGTGGATACGAAATACTACCCCCGATCGCCTAGCGGAACGCATTCCATCCGGTGGGTGTCTGGGCTTAATCTGGCACTGTCTCGGCGCAGCTTACGCCGGTTTTATACCCGATGGCAGCAAGCACGACAGCGGGCCCATGTTTTACACTCTCGCCGCACCGGTCGCGAGTCCCCCTAATGGCAATGCTCCCGAATCAAAGGTTAAAGTGGTTCCAGTGGAACCAAAGGTCCCACTTTGGTCCCACTG